CCATTTGCTCACACACACACACATACATTATACATTATACATTATACATACATACATACATACATACATACATACATACATACATACATACATACATACATACATAGAGAACCACTCTGACAAGAATGACAAGTTGTATCTGCCACTTGGCCTTTCCCCACTGCTAAGCACATCAGCCAAAGTGACAAGGAGGAAGAGAGCTACTAACAATAGCCAGTACAAGGCTACTGTATATTTTTGCTACTTGATATAAATCAGCTGTGATTCAAAGACACAGCCCCAGAGGACTCCGTTTTCAATTAACCACAGTTTAATATTATTTCTGATCTCTAAACTGAGCCCTAATTAATTAGGTATAATTAATACTCTATCAAGACAAAATCAGAACACCAAGCTGCTGTTTCTATCATCTTTGTCATCTTTGTCCTTCCTTGACAATGTAAATATAATAGTTTGCATTTTATCACTACGTGTATGATACAATACTGCTAGACAACAACAGTGGTTGGTAAACTTTGATTTATACTTTAGTATTGCACAAGTCAATCATTATTTATTCAGTAAGCCATGGCTGAAATAAGCTATGGCTTAGTTAGTACTGTATATCTGAATCAGGCCTAAAAAAAGGAAGAATTAACTGTTAATCAAACTTAAAATATGCTCCAGATTGAAATAGTCGCTTTAGGTTTTGATTTTAAGTAAATTTTGCTTGGAAGCACCTCCATTAAAATCAGGAAAATACTTTTCTCAGATATGTATCATGTTGCGCTTTCCCCCCACATTATATCTTCCAGAGGAGATGCCTTTGTTACCAGTTTTGACTTTTGGGATACTATGTGTAACCAATGCATTACACTGGTAAAACTGAAAAAAGTTACAGTGCACCTCAGTTGTGAATACAGCTGAATTTATCAAAAGAATACATTGAAACTGTACTTTGTGGCCTCAATGGGCGCCCAAGCCTTGAACCTGTTATTTCGAAAAGTGACTTAAGTCCTACAAACGTAGGCAGGGTAGGAGTTCCTATGTTTAGACAGTTCCATGCAGACATTATAATGCAACTGTTGGAACTTTACAAGAATGCCATTTGTAATGCTGATTACCCAGAAAAAGAATGCAGCTAGTTCCCGACATTATAAAAAAAATTTCAATATGTAAACGTACCTTAAGTGTCAACCTCTCCAGGAATCCCAACATACAAAATGTTACAATGTAGGGTAACAAAATACAATTATGGGTAGCAATCAAATTGATTGGCAAACTTCTAAAGGAGGAATTGCTTTATTCATGGTAGAGGGTCCAGATAGGCAATTTTCGCCCCCCCCCCCCAAGCTAAATACTGTTGGCTAGTTGTAATATAACCGAGGGACACTAAATGGGGCGAAGGTCGAATAGACTCTTATTAAACGA